TGTTCTATGTACAGGCATGGAATGTGCAAAAGCGCTTAGATTATTCGATTCCTTAAAAATTATGTGCTTCAAGAGAAGGGAGTTCTCCAATCTTCTGACCGGCTATGTTATCCCAGCTGTTTTCAACGTCTGGAAAAGACAGCAGCAGTGTTTGCTAAATAGCATTAAGGACAACCCAATTTGTATTGCGTCTGACATGCGAGTGGACAGTCCTGGGCACAGTGGACTGTTCGGCTCAGGGAGTAGCTTAGATGTTGACAGAAATATAATTCTGGACACTCAAGTTGTTAAGGTAATTGAAGAAATATACAATCTATCTGAAATTGACACCTAGACTCCTAGATTTAATTAAGCCTGCATGGTTTCCATAATTATGGTCGAAAAGATTGAGTCAAGATCTTTCTCATCAGCTGATACCTCGCGAAATACAACATTTTAGAACTGAGAACTGCGCAGCGATTATAACTAGACAATTACTTATTATTTATATGTGGTTTACCCGTATAAACTATTATAAACTGGCACTTTTAGATAGATCGTAACTTTATTTTTACGACCATTATGAATGTTAATTAATGTAGAGCACCGAAGTAAAGAATTCGAATGCGATGGAACTGGAGTCCCTAAAACGACAACTGGCGTATTTGGAGCAATCTGACGTAAACGTGAAAAAGCTGGTCACAGATAGACATTCTCAGGTTTCGTCTTACCTCGCACAAGAAAAGCCGGATATTGAACACGCATACGACGTTTGGCATGTAGCGAAAGGTATTGTACTGTTTACTATACCGGGTGTCCCAAAAAAAAGTACTCCGGTTTGATTTATAATAGCTTCTAAACAAGGAAAGCTATCAAACAGAAATAACTTGCATTAAATAGAGGGAGGACTAACTTAGATTTTGATATATGACAGTTGTATTTTACTTAAAAATTCACGGAGATATTAATGTTCAAAATCGGAAGCATATTTTGGGATCTGTCTAAAATTAGCGAAAATCGGCATATCAAATATTAACTCCAGCGTTTGTTTGCTTAATGACATATCAGGCTAACTTGTATTTCAGCGAATTGTCGTTAGGGTTTGTAAGGGATATGGCATATAGATTTAGACATCTTAACATGCATAACATGTAAGTCTTAGCTCATTGTTTCCTGAAATATGAACGTTCGAAATTATGCAAGTATTTAATAGGTCTTTACAAACTTAAAGGTACATGAAAGACCATGCAAGGCAGGCGCTTAAATTTTTCTTAATTTAAATAGTCTAATTTTTTTATGTTTCTCATGGGTTCAAAACTGAGTTGATTAATTCTCGGTTAGAGCAGGATGAATATTATTCTTTAATGAAGGAAATAATATTGCTTTTTGCAAATACACATCACAGTATCAACGCTACTATTTTGTTACGTTTTGTTCCAAAAATGTTGGATGTCTCTGGGGAGTTGCTTGTTATGTCTTATGGAGTTGTATATAGTTTGATTGTGTTTCATTCTCAGTTTATTCTGAACTTAACAAGATTATAAGAAAAGGCAAAAGAGTTTGAGTGTTCTTAACAAGATTTCAGAACTTTGCAGAAGTTAGAAGAGCTTCACAATTCCATTGTGACAGCATGCCCTAATTCAGAACTACGAACGATATTCATGACGATCTTTCGAGATGCAGTGGTACGTCTCATGAAATAAGGAAACGTATTCGTGCTAGGAACACACGCGGATTTCGAACGAATAAATCTTGCTTGTATTTTCTAAATAATAATACTTTGTTTCATAATAAACAATTTGTCAAGTGTCATTTATTTACTGGTAATAGTGCATGTTTCAATCGGGCAAATGCTGATTAATATTTGATACGCCGTTTTTTGCATATTTCAGACACATCCAGAAATATGCTCCCGATTTTAAACATTAATTTCTCCGTGAACTTTAAGTGAAATACAACTGTAATATATCAAAATCTAAGTTAGTCATTCCTCTATTTGATGCAAGTTATTTCTCTTTAAAGGCTTTACTTGTTAAGAAGTTATTACGAATCAAACCGGAGTACTTTTTTTTGGGACACCCGGTATACAAAATCACAAGAAATAAACTTACTATAATAGGACTTACTGTGCGCGATATGAAATTGACTAGAAAGCGTGAGTGCTTGTATTAAAGTCGTAAACAACGTAATTAATAAATGCCATTACATAATTTATAGTTCTAATTACGAATCAGTTATTACTGTAACATACCGTTTGAATTGTAATACTGAAATACCTCGGCAAACTTGAGTATTGTGAATGATCTTGTAAAACGAATACAGCATTGCATTTTAAAGATTTGAAATGTACGACTTGAAATGTACAACGTTTTGAAATGTACAACTTTTCGGCATGTGACAAATAAATAATTGGCCGTGACTAACATTCCGCTTTCGTTTATTGGGCAAATAAATCGGGATTTTCCCAGTGTAGGACACCAGCCGGGTGAAATCACTAGCTATAATATTACTTGTACAAGTCACTTATTGTAGATGCTCATGCATTTTTTAGGAGAAAAAAAAACGGTTGCTGAAGGTTGTGAAAATAAAGAAGTTTCGAAAATTAAAGCCTTGGATTGGTGTCTAAAAGGGATGTTTAAATATTTTTGACAATTTACTTGGTGTAGCACACTCAAGCCGCACTTGCTCTTTTCTTGAGTTGCTTTTCTTATTATTATTCAGCTGTTATTCCTTAAGTTACAGTAGATAACAACTGTAATTCGTTCTAGAATACTATCTTAAAACATGGCGGTGTTGATGAATGGAAAATTTTGCACGTAGTCGTAGCCCACTTGTTTAAATTGTTGTGCGCAATTACTGTTTTCTATAGTCTATCATCAACCACATGTATTGGGTGGCCATTTCAAGTCAATCACCTGTTGAAAGGGAGGAAAAGTGGCTAAGTTTGCTGAATCATATTGTGGATGTGCACGTCCACAATGAGAATAAGTTGTTTATGAAGTGTACCCACGAAACAATAGAAAGGCAATATATATATATATATAAGGTCTATGGCCTTTTCCAGCATCAATAGTGCCGGAATTTGAAAAAAAAACCCAGCCGAAACAAATACCATATGTTAATTACAGCCAGATTCAAGACATCGAAATAGGGCGAACTTGTATGTATATATATTAACAAGCGATACTACCGATATTTGTATAGGATCGGCGATTTATAAGAAGTTGATCGAGATTATCACTAGGCCAAGACTACTCACAACGATACGAAAATTATCAAATTATCATCAGACGTCAGGACTAGAAGCAAAACACACACTCGACAACACATTTGCGTCGAAGAATATATACTACCCTTACCACTCACTCATGGCCAGGTTCGTAGCTTTGTACCCCAGCCTTATTCATTCCTATTTTGTTACTGCGTAGCATAAGGAATTTTACATAGTACTAACCTCGGTCTTACAAAATTAACGTGATTTACTTCCCAAATTAGGTTGTTCTGCTCCAATCTACATTATAATGAAAACGCGAATAGGAGCCAAGCAACTACAGCTGAAGGGGTCAGTCGGTGGTCAATTGTTTACCCAAAAGCGAACAAAGGGGAGAAGGCTGTGGCTAAACCTTTAAAAGAACAACCGACCTACAGTAAGTGCAACCCTGGTGCAACCACACACAACACGAAATAATCATATTTGGCATGCTATTTTTTAGTTTACTTGACATAAAACTATCATGTATTACATAATTGATCATATCAATTGATGTATATTATACAAAGGCTGTACATAAAATGTTTAATATGAAAACAGTTTAACCTGTATTTATTTTATAATAGAATATATACAGACCATTCAAGAAGAATGCCTCAAGCTCCGAAACGACTTTAGCACCCTCAAGAAAGCAATAAGCCATTCCAAAGAACTCCCTCCGGAAGAACCCGTCACTCTAGTGGAAAAATATCTAGATGGTAAACAACGAAAGCCAAAATCCGATATTGTGGCGGCCAAGCACAGTCGATTTACTCAGCTAGCTTTGCCAGGCGTAGACGAAGACCATTGCGATTGTTCGGGAAAATGCGCCACAAGACGATGCAAATGTAAAAATGAACTTCGCAAGTGTAAGTCTGCTTGCGATTGTAAAAAAGAGGCTTGTAAGAACGTTTAGTTATAAAGTAAATAAAATTGAAAGATATTCACTCATATGATACAATTTTTATCGAAGCCTCGATCGAATGAGAGTTGACAATCATACGGATGTTGGCTAGATTTCTCCGAGCACTATCATGTATGACTTATTTACTTTAAATTAAATGAATTTCAGTTAAGTTAACTGATTGAAACACTCATCAAACCTAGTCCTAGAGCTAGAAATCCGTGACTGCCAGCTCTTATCAACTTGACTGCGCCTTTATGATGCAAACTTAAAGTGCGTGTACAGGCCATCAGGAGAAGCGAATTTCTTTCGTATACATGTATAAATACAAGATGGAAACACTCTCCGACATTTCTTGCCTAAAATTTGAAAAATCCATCTCGAACATCGTCGATATGCAGATAGCCGATAAAGTTTGTGCGTTCTAGCAAGGTCGTCATCATCATGCGGAGAATTGTCTTCCAAGTATTGTGCGACATCAACTTCGAGCACATCTTGCGACAACATGTTTTGCACGAAAGCAGGCAATAATGAAATACATGTTAACCCTTGATTCTGAGCTGATATTAGCTTTGCATCATATTCATCGTATTCGACGGCTTTTTCATGACAACAAAAGCTTTCGATTGTTTTGGTCATAATCTGACACTGACCACATTTACACCACTGAAGAGTTCTTAGTCGCCACGAATTAATTCCTTCAAATTCTTCATTGGGGTTATCTTCTGTCGAAGTTGATTCACAATCCGAATCTTCACTTTCTATTTCGTCATCTGGATTTGGTTCGAACATGTATGGCTGTATTTCGTATCCTTTAAGGTCCATTTCGTTGGCAGCTTCCAGGTTTACAATATTATGCGAAAACAACACAAGTTTCTTCCCCTGCTTATGACGTCACATGCGAATTGTAATTACGAAATTAATTTTTTCGCATCGGATTTCAAAATGGCGCACTTTCAATATGAAATTGACTCTTGCAAACATCTTTAAGCGGAAGGGGTACGATTTTTGGAAGCTAAAAACACCTTTTCTATTAACTATCTAACAAAATCTTAAAGAAAAATGAGATGTCAAAATATATTGCCAATCTCCTTTAAGAAAATTGCGTCATGGAATGGGTATCCTAAACGTGTTGTCTTTTCACTCATAAAACGCTTTAACCAAAACACAACAAACGACCAAGATAATATCACGACAGAATCGAACGAAACTAGACCGACGCTTTGGCTAGAAATGCCATACATTGGGACGAAAGGCGAACAACTTTTACGTGCACTCAAGAGGAAACTATTACGTTGTCTCAACATTACGAACGTGCAGATTAGGACGAGAGTAACAACAACTAAACTAAACTTGTTTACGAACGCAAAAGACAAAGTACCTAAACAAAACAAATCCAACGTTGTATACCAATTTACTTGCCCTAAATGCAACAACAGCTATATAGGCAAGACTGACCGAACGCTTCTAGAACGGGTAAAGGAACATGCGTACAAAGACAAAGAAAGTGCTGTGTACAAACACTTAGACTGCTGCTACGACAAAACATTCTTAACATCACAATCTAACACACAACTGACATAACTTGTACTCTCAAACACTAATATCATTGATTCTTCCAGAAACTGGAATTTATTACTATATAAAGAAGCGCTACACATTAAAAGACGTAAATCAAGTCTTAATAATGGTCTAAAAGCTAGTAGAGAACTACAGTTATTTAATTAATTAACGTGCGCTGAATGAAAGAACTACGTGAACTGCTTCATCACGAATAAACGCTATTGATTGCTTACGCACTTTTGCGCACGCTAGCTTGTTTAAAATTGCTCACGCTTGTAAATATAACGACATATCTTGCAAAACACTGCTGAAGATGAATCTGATTTAGATTCGAAATATACAGTTTTAATAAATTGTGTGTGAATATTATGCACTCCTTATTCGGAATAACTTTTGTTTTATTTTTGCTGAAATTATCAGCCGGAAAAGGATTCTGAGATACAAATCCCCGTAGGAAAAATGGTTGGGAATTCTGTAATTTTATTGTTCTTGTGATTTACCACTAGCCTCTGTGTTTTCATATGGTTTTAAAGGCTGCTTATGGTGTCCAAATCCTTACTGTGTACTTATATTGATTTAGTACTATAGACTTCAGTATTATAGAGATATAAGCAAATTTTCCCTGACAAACTTTGAGTGATATATATCCTTGAGTGATATATATCATACTGTGTAGTTATATTAAATGTCACTTCTACAACAGGCAAACTGAAAAATTGCTTTGTTAGGCCAAAGATATCAAGTTCAAACCATTCAAATGATTCAATACCCATTGTAATCAAGCATGCAATAACCATAAACCTATGAATATATAAGCCCCGATGACAGACCCCAAATATAAGCCCTCCTGTGTAGAACGGCCACCATAACAATGGCAAAATTGGACCTCAAAATATCGCATTTCAAGTATTATAAGTCTTATAACACGCTATATTTGCAGCAGCAATAACACAATTAGCCTGCGAACAGGCTCACTGGGAGAAAGGTGAGCCTGCACGGAACCATGCGTTTTATCCATTCATCCCCTTTTCGCATCTGCTAAACGCTAACCAATCAGCGTCGACTGCGATAAATAAACTGTCAACTGTCAAATTGACGCAAGGCGTGTACATTGTGCAACATGAACAATAATAATACAAAGCATTAGCGGGCCGCACAATATATTACTCGGAAAAATATAGAATTCTTCAAATATTAAATAGATATCAATACACATACAAATATAAAGCCGAATAAACTACCATTGGCTTTGAATGTACAGTAATACTTGTACTATGTGCGACTGAAAGAACAATGTTCTGAATATTTTGAAGCTATTACTAAAATACGGTCAGATAGATTGGGATTTGGAATACCGAATACGTTTAAAATTTTACTAACTGTGGTCTAAATAAATGATAAATGAGCATGTATTTATTAATTTCTTCGAAATCACGAGTGTGCCAATAGTGGAAGCCGTATCGACGACGAAATTGTCAGCAGTTAATATACAGTAAACAGTACAACGTTTAATGTACGATATATATTTATCTAAATGACATGCCAGCGAGGATCGACAATATAATTATTCGTACATATTTGGGTATCTTTTGTATGCCTTCGCTTGCTGACTTGCTCACTAATGAGAATAATCCGTGAAGCCACGACGACCTCAAAATGTACTATACTATGGTCTGATGTCAATCCGAAGACGAAGTTCAGAATACTGTTATAGTTTCGTATATTGGATTTAAGCGATAGATTCAAGTCATTTATGATAGACTTTTTTGCTGTGATGCTTTGCTATTGCTTTTGGTTTCCATTTCTAGTTTTATTTGTTCGATAGTCCTATAATATATAATATTAAAATGAATAAAGTTCAAATTCTTCAAAATGCTGTTGTTGACATTTGCTATTTTTAGTAATTTTGTCAAGGAGTGTAAGCCAATCAGAAGCCTGCGTTTCTATACGAACGCCACTACCAAGAAAACCTATCGTCCGTGCAGGCCCTCTATTCTTCGCGCCGCCCGCAACCCAGGGCCTGTTCGCAGGCTATAACACAATATGAAGATAACACACAATGAAGCCGAAATATTTGAATATTCGCGCGCCGCATGATCGAGCTTTCAACCAATGAGGATAGCGCCGCCGTGAAATCTAATACCTTCTTGTCGCATCGATACTTGCAGTCTGGCAAAGGAGGATATTAACGTTATCCCGGCATGCATCGCGTCACCACTCGCGACTCCAGCTAGCGCAAAACAAACATGGCGAAAGGTCATGCATAATTCATATGGTCAACTCAATGACGTTATATGTCACAAAGAAATGCAAAATATGGTAAGTAAACCGTATCTTATACATATTAATAGTTCTAGCAAAGCATGCAAATGCTTCTCATAACACAAAACAACTTTACGCGACGTCCCTTCCAACCTTCTATCCAAGGTCCTGAGCAAGCGAGGTAGTCCGCAGCATCAGCTCGCAAAAATACCGACAACGCATTTGCAAATATCTACACTACGCTTGGAGTTTTTCCACCAAGCATTAAACACTAACACACTATGGCATTTTTACTTCTCACTCATACAAAACAGACCCTAATATAGGCAGTCGTTTTGACAAGTGAAAACCTTCAAAATAATGCTTCATGTGTCGGCGCCGGCCCGCCAGTATTAAAAATGCGCCATGTGGCGCCATTAAACTCGCGATAGAAGTCTCGTAAAAAAAGCCATGAAAGGGCAGTTGGGCTGTCAATTTCCCGTTTGTTATCCAAAATGACTGAAAATTGCAAACTTGGCAAGGCTATATTATCCGCATTTTACAACATTGCGCAAAGAAACATTGGAATATTATAAATAATTTTTTGATGCTCTTTCAAGCTGTGATGAAATTTTTGTCTAGACTTATGTAAATCAAAATATAGTGTATTTTACGCAAGTGGTCAATTCGCACTCATTCATGTATAATGCGCACTGTCTGTCATAATTATTGCATCAATTATTGCTTTAGGATGACGGTACAAACGAAGATTCTGCGAACGTCGCAGACAAAAGAAGCTATGTCCCTTCTGGTAGCACGCCCCACAAACCACCGAGGAAAAGATCTCTCGTTGGTCCAAGTCCATTAAAATCAGCTAAAAAATTAACTTTTACAAAGCAGCCATCTCCTGCCCAGAGAGTAAGCAAATGATTTTACGTTAATTCGTAATAAAATTTATGTATGTTTAATATGTATGTTTAATATGTATATATGGTTTAATATTAATTAGTATGAATAATGACTGTTTAATATAGTATTAAATTATATCAATCCCTCTCACAGGCAGCGAAATACCTCGTAACAAGAGCCAAGGGGCGCCATTCACCAAAGCAGCTAACATTCTCTCCGAAACAAAAAAGAAATGTGTGGACGTCAGAAGAAGATAAGTCATTAATTGAGTTTATTGCCCTCCACAGAGATCTGCAACCTACCAGTAGTGACTGGCCAAGTATGAGAGTGCAACATAAATATTGGGAGAAAGCTGCACAATTCATTAAAGAAAATGCACCAACGGTTCATATCAGACCTTGTAAGTCACATTGCAGTTATCTCATGCTTTTTTGCTTTTATGGGTTAACATGTTTATGATTGTGTGTAATGCACCTGTCAATGTTAAGCTGCAGGGGAGGAGAATGGGAAATCCTGAAGGATTTGACATCATATATACCCCTGTAGGTGGGAAATTCGACATCAACCGCCATCCCCAGAGAGAGGATATTTTATTACCGTGCTGTGGCCTGGCGGTCTGATGATATTGTGTGACATTCACCTTTTTTTATTATTTCACAGTGACTATCATCCCAAGAGTGGCCAGTATGATGTCACCTCAATAAAAAATGTTGAATGCCCTTGTGTTTGCCACCACCTAGCTCACACTTAACATTTACAAGGTGCATGGTGATGCATAATCAACCATTTAGTTAGAGTAACACAATACTTTTTCCACTTTAATTAATTTATATTTTTCTCTATCTCTAGCATAGCAATGTCTATACGTTCAAGAGTGTCTTTCCTCAAGACCAAGTTTTCATCAATTGACAATGCTGAGGACAATCTTGGTCTGACTGTTAGTCACTACATGAGCACTGAAACACCATGTACCAACTTGAGAAATTCAGAAAGGATGTCAGAGCAAGTGCGAAGAAATGTTGACCCTCTGATTCTAACGAAGGATGACAAGATTTTGTTAATAAAAAAGTATATGGAAACACTAACTGAAGATGAAAAGATGGAATGCATACATGAGATTTACGATGATAGATGTGAACTATTATCACTAATAACTAAGCTATTTACAAAAGTAAATGAAAAAGTTGGTATTTGTCAAACAACTGAACAGCAGTTATTCAGCAAACATTTAGATGAACTATACTTCAAAATTGCGGTAATGGAAGGAATACGTTCAAATCCAAAGCATTTTATTACAACATCAATCAAAGCCATGAAACGACTGCAAGCTGAAAGCAGATGTAATCTCGTCTATAAGTTCTGCCAAATGCTGACTGATGTGAATAATTTTGACCAGTCTAGTTATTTGATGAGATTGGACAGAATGCCATTTGGCCTGCTTGATTATGTCATACAGTTCTTCACATGCACAAACACCAGACAGGTACTGCAATTTGTTTGATTCAAGTAACACTCTTAATATAAGTAACACACCACTATTTGTCCTGAAAAACAGGTTATTTAAATAACTTCTACTGTATCTATTGACTGTTTAAGATATGTGAGCCCGAGGACTACCGCATTTGGCTGGAAACAATGGAAACCGAATTTCCTAGTAGATTTCATCGCTTGTTTGCTGGACCTATGTGGAGCAACCAGGAGACAAAATATTATGGGAATCCACATAAGGTACTGGTTGTTCTACTGTTCGGGAAGATCATTTTTGTTAATCTTATTAATTATTTAAAATGAGTACCAGATTGACAAATCCTATGTCAATGAGTGGTAAATGTTGCATCAAATTTCTAGTCACTTTCAATCATAATATACATTCGGGACTAAAATACTGTACAAAGGCAATGTGATACGACTCATACCGGTACCAGTTAACATTAGATAATATTTTTTGGATAAACGTATAACAACAAGCCTGTAAATTGCTTAGGGTGGCATTTAAATGTTTAAATTAAAGTAAATTTTTTTGTAGGCATTAACCAATGTTCCATGTACAAGTCTTGTGTCACATTGGAGCAAGTCCAAGAAATATACTAGTTTTTCCGCTACTACAGATATTCAGGTAATTCTTCAGTCACAATTTGAGTCTGTCAGTTCAATTGACTGAGTCTTGTTCCACACAGTATTGGCTTTGATGATTACATTTTATCAACAGTAATTTTGATCAGAGTAATGTACTTCAAAATTTGCTTAAAGGGGTTAACTAGAGTAATAGAGTATTGATTTGTGCTCAAAAAACATTTTGCTTGAACGTACTGCAATGTTTGGTAAGTGTGATTAATTACACTGGCCTGTAGGCCAAGTGTCTTAAATCCCTCTTTTTCTGTTTTTTTCGTAGTCGAGAAATCGAGTTTGCGTTAGCGCATCGCAGGCTCAAGGTGCAACGATTAAGCCAAAATGCCATCGATTCCCTCCGTTCCATGATTCAAATATAATAGCAACAAATTACGTATTTATGTACGTACTAGCTGACCCATGCCATGCTTGTGGTACATTTTTCGTTTATTAGCCTATACACTTGTACGCACGCGCACAATTCCGAACTGCAATGGCGGATTTTCACAGAGTGATCAAACTATATTTTACACAGTTGCGTTGAATTTTCAAAGAATTGTGCCGGTTTCCTATGTATTTTACGTTGTGTCGTACTCTGGACTTTCTTGCGTGTTGAATTAATGTGTTTTTCTTTGTGTAATGACTCGAAAACCACAAAATATAATATTTAGTACTCCACGAAATATAATCCGCACGAAAAGCTTTGTGGTAGCTATACTGAAAGATAAAGCGTGCGTTCAAAATACCAACAAGAACTAGAACCATTATTGTATAATTTGTATGGTTCTCATTTGCTAGACTTGCCACAAGTCAACCTCGAAGAAACGCATTTCGTTCGAGGTCGACTTGTGGCAAGTCTACTCATTTACAATAACATTAGTTCGACGCGAATTTTAATACAAGTATGGTATCATATTTCATAATACAACAATGTAAACTAGCCATACATTTTGCCGAACATAACTTCGGCCCCTTTGGACATATCTTTTTCGTGATAATGTTATTGGAACCAGAATCGAAAACATTATTTATAGTGTTATTTTCAAGCTTGTGTCTTGAGATTCTCATCTTTTATTTCGGTATTTACAGAATATTTATATTTTTAGCGCGGCCCATGGAACGCACATGAAAACAACGTGCTGTTAGGAAAAACCGGAAATCGATTCTGTAGGTCGGCATGATTTGCACGTGCATCGATCTCCATTACGTCTCCCGAAAAGGTCTTTTATTTTTTTAAAAAGTCTATAAAATTTGCTTGCGGTTTAAGATTTGTATTCCTGCCTTTTGCACCATAGCACGTATCTCGTTATTTTCAGGCCAGTGTGAACGCCTGAGCAGGCGTCTTGTTAAATAGAATATGGTCAGTTGCATATAGGGATGAACACAAAACCATTGTTTATTCTCAATCAAAACTTTAGTGTTTGTCAAGAGCATTTGATAGGTTTCAATTGGATCAGCCAATCATGTTTAACTAGCTTCACACTTATTGGCTGAGCTAATTTAATTCTTTAATGTTTGTTATACATTACAAACATTGAAGTTTCTTTTAAGAATAGACCGTGTTTTTGTCTGCTTCTCTCCATCCTTAAATACAACCAAAAGAAATTTTTGGTATTTTTTTCTCAAGGTTTCTGCTCTTGATCAGTTGAAACAAACAAATGGCCGATTTTGGATCAAGATTGACGGCACCGACATCAAGACTGCACTTATGGAATCTGCACGCCGTGTGTGGAATGGAGATGTTGATATGAATGATGGAGAATTGAAACAGCTAAGAGAGCAGTATGAAAATCATTTGACAGACGTTGATAAGTTCAGCAAATCAGATTGTCAAGATTTGCAAATAAATGGAACCAAGCTCATTAACATGTTTAAGAATGATATACCATACTTGTCTAACACAATTTTACTCGTCAAGGGGAGAGCGCTGGCACTTAATTAACCTATTTACAGTGTACATTAAACACTTCCCCCTTGACAAGTATATTGTCATGTGTTAATTGAATAGCAAAGGATGGTGCGAAAAAGGTCTCATCGAGACTTGTGTTAACACGAGAATGGGTTAACAAGAGAATTATGGGCAGTCACTGTGGTCTTGTTAACCCATCAATTGTAATACTTTCCCCTTAATGAGTAAATTGTTTTGCATTGGGCAGTAAAATAGCAAAGGTCACATCAGATGTTTATTGTTTTATATTTTGTATGCTCTAGGTACTGTAACAGATGGTGAATTTTGTTCATTAAGGAGCCAAGGGGAAACAAGACCTCTGCACATTTGGCAGTTAATCCATGACAGCAAAGAAGCAGTGCAGAAAATGTCAAAGAAAACCCTCTTAGCAATGCTGATAAAGTGTGGAGGTAAGCAATTTATAAAAGAAGGAAATATACAGGGTATGTAAACATGGACTAGATTACCTAAGTGACAGGGTCATTTTTGCAATTACAGTACCATACTTACAGTAGGTGTCCAACTAGTTCTAATATCAGACTATAACTCAATTTTATAAGATTTTGTATTTATCAGCCATGTTGGTACAATTAATATATAATTTCAGTGCAGTTATCTGTATTGAAGATTAATATCAATAAAAAAGGACGAATATTGGTGTTGTACCATTGCTACATTAAAAGGGATGTCATTTAGCATATTTTTTTGTTCTTTACAGAAAGTGAATGTGGAGATCCTGTGGTGAAAAAACCAAATGCAGCAATCCCACACAGTTTTATCAACCTAATCCACAACCTGCAAATATCTGAAAACCTTACCTTGGAAGATGCAGTGAAGCAAGTCAGGAATAGTTTGGTTCCAGTGGGCTATACTCCATATCCATTCAAAAAGGATACAGAAGAATCTTTTCTTGATATGCTGAGGAGCTTGGTTGCAACATGCATATACAGAGATGCGATCAAACACCTGAAGGGAAATGGTGTTGATTTTTCCCTCTACATTTATGTTCCTGAGGTAGATCCAATCACCAAAGATGTACGACATGATCGGAGTGACCATAATCACCTTTTCCGACGAGCTGTAAAGAGCATTCGAGATGGCAACCATCAAGGTCTCAATTTTGAAGCATTTGATGATATTCTTCTTGATCCTGGCAGTGGCCTGACACATTCAGCCCTTATCGGTTTGAGAAAGCAGTCACTTGTTGATGCAGAACGACTGGTTTCAAAATTTGTTGTTCGGTCACTCAGAAAAAGTGAACATGAGAAAGAAGCTCAGCATGTACAGCTGCTGGTGAATTGGCATGAGGCTACTGATGGGCGTAGTCTAACACAACTACAAAGGTGTAGATACAACTACAACATGCTCAATTATATATTGGACGAATGGATGCCATGGCACAAAGATTGCTATGATTTCTCAACTATTGACATTAACAGGTACTGTACACGCTGGCACTTAATGGGTTAACTGGCATATCTGCCCCATTGAAATGAATATAAGTGGAACGCTATATCCAACCAAAAATTTGAAGCCAAATTTGAAGGCCAGTCCCAGTCTTTTCACGCATGCAAATGCGATTGACGCAGTCAATCATAGTATAAACATGTGTGTCTTGGTCTGGAGGTCAGATTTGGCTTCAAGAAAAAGATTCATTGGCAGTTTATCTTAAGGTAGCATTCCAGTTATATTCATTTCAGTGATCTGCCCATGTGTCTAATTAACCCATTGAGTCGCATTGCTTCATGATGTGCCCTAATTTATATTTTACTCTGTCTAACGCCAAACGATTTTACTCGTCAAGGGAAGAGCGCTTAATGGGTTAAAAAGTATTG